TAGGCTCTGATACCAACTGTAACACCCCATATTTTCAAGATATTTAAAACTTATAAAATAAAGGTGAAATCTCATTAAATCCCAAAACATAATTCAAAAGTGCGGGGTGCTATGCCACACCTGAGCTAGAGAACTCAGGTGCACAGGCTAACTAACTAATATCCTCAAATGGTATCAATACTAAATGATGGCACGCAGGCCGAAAGGGAAAAACTATCTAAGCTACGCCCAAGCTTCTAGCGCGCTCCAGTGATCTACTTGTCTGTGCCTGAAAGCCAAATATATCTGTTCAGCGAGAGATGCTGGTAACCCACTCCAACGTGTTGAAATACAATATAAATAGATATATGTATAGATATACGAAAACCATTTTTGAACATGAAGATATATCCTACGAACTCTAGCTTTTTAAAACAGGGATAGACTCAACAGATAGAGCTAAGCACAGACAGCAGTTATACCTGGCATATACAGTTCACAACAGGCAAGACAGATAAGATAAGCACAATAAATAATCATAACCCAACATGTACAATCCCCAGTACAAATCCCATAGTCTTATCCCCAATTTACTCATAACAACAACTCATCCAAACTTCATCACATAGCACACTTTGTTGGCGCCACATGACCAATTGCATGCCCATACATGAGGGTCAGCGCATATAGCTCTGACACGGCCCCGCAGCACCCTGCCCCGTCTCACAGCACAGAGGGGTCGATCGCAACCGACCGATGAGCCGCAGCTCTATATGATATTTATATACCTGACCGGTCTTTACCAGCCTGGTTAACAGTTGGGATGGTTCTCAACCCATTCAACTGCCCGTATAGTGGACCTTTGTCCTATATAATATTTATATACCTGACTGGTCTCTACCAGCCTGGTTAACAGTTGGGATGGTTCTCAACCCATTCAACTGCCCGTATAGTGGACCTTAGTCCTATATAATATTTATATACCTGACCGATCTCTACCAGCCTGGTTAACAGCCGGTATGGTTCTCAGCCCACCCGACTGCCCGTATAGCCCGATTGATCTCAACCAAATCGGGGTAACATGCACACGTAACACATAGCAAGCACATGAAACCCACATTAACACATTGGGAATGGGGAGAAAACGTATAACAAAACCTATGCGTGATCCTTCACATACTAGGAATATTCCTAAGGGGTTCATACTTCTTTCACCTAGGTCAACGGGATACCAATTCAACTAGCATGCAATATATAAGACTCATACGACCTACGAACGGTACCCGAAAATCAAACTAGACATAGGCACGATAGACGGAGTCCGTTGGGACACCACGGGGGTCGGGGGAACATTAAACGGGGAAGCCGGGATCCCGATGTGGGGTACAAAAACCAGCGGGTAGCCGGTGGGTAGGGGTCACCCGCCGGAGGCACTATTCCGGGCAGCGGGTGCCCTGCGGGCAGCTGCCCGCTGCCGGCGTTGCCCAACTTGGCCGCGGGTAGGTGGCGGGTCCCCTACCCCCCACTGACTCTTTTTCGTCAAAAACGCCCCGGGAACCTTTGTGGAACCCGAAACCATGCTTAGACACTTTCAAGCGCAATTGATAACACACGTAGACAATTAACGGATCAAAATCAGGAAACGAACGGCATATAACCTATCATGCTTTTCTAAACATAATAAACACCCGATCATGCGAATTCCCACCCAATATACCAAGAATAATTCCATACGATACAACCTAGGGTTCTAATCATTTTTAAATCAACAAGGACACAATTCATCTTCTAATATCAAGATTCGGTAAGAATATTACATAAACATCATGAACATCCTACAATCATCAAGAACATCATATAATCATCAAGAACGTTATATAATCATCAAGAACACCATAATTGTCAAGAACCTTTCATCATCAAGATCACCCATGGGATCATCCCACCAATCATCAATAATAATATCACGAATCATCAATACACAATAATATGGGAAAATCCTAAGAGGGGAATCATAGCTATGAAAATATGTTTTGTTGAGACATGGGTTACCTCTTAGCCTTAATTAATTCCTTGGCTATGAAGGGTCTTTCTTTAAGCTTTCTTCTTTCTTGATTTCTCCTAAGGAGATTCTTGGAACTTCTTGTGTGGTGAGAGATTATTGTGGTGAAAGATCTAGGTGCCTTCTATATCCCTATTTATATATTGAAGACTCCTAATTAGGGCCTGAATGGTATGGGTTTACTAATTCTATTCCTTATAGGACTAAGGACTTTGTTTTAGGGATAAGGGTCCATGGTCCATAGTGGACCATATTAATTAATTAAAGAGAATCCTAATCATAATCTGGATAGTAAAAGGCCTACTTCCTTTATTCCTAATAGGCCTAAGACTCTCATTTAGGCAAGGGTCCACGTTTCATGGTGGACCTCATTAATTAATTAAAGGGAAACCTAACCGAATTAAATCATATTTAATTATTATTAACGGGATTAATTAAATAATTAATCCGGGATTGAAGGCCGTAACACGGGGTGTTACAGCGGCATCAGTATTCGGACTACTTGCCGAGTCATTGTTGTTACATTCAAGTAAACAAGTTATGAAACTAGAACAAGAGGTACTATTCATGAACCTTCTACAAATATATTAATATTTTGTTTAATTCTGTCACATGAGAATATATGGCACACATCTCACAACGAATGAAACATGTAGGGGGAAAAACTACCACTGCCAAATATCAACAAACGCCTTCAAGATCAAGAGTTCGTTGTACAACTACGATCCCAGGCATATACACAACAAGGCAGATCCAATTCTTCTTACACTATAATCTCATTGCATGATGCTTCCCACTATGATATCACAACTAAAACAATTGAACATGACGCATAACCAAACAAAAGAAGAGGATATGTACTGAAGATGAAGAGAATGACAATGTTCCCCTCAAGAGAATTAAGAAGGCTTAGAGAAATTTAAACCAAATGTAGATTTTATTTACACTATTATTTTTACACTAGCATTATTTCGACTATTATTTTTAGACTACGTATTTAGAAAATTAACATCGATTATTTTAGTGACAATTATAATCAATCATAATTGCATTATCTTACATTCGTAAACTTAGAATTATCTATTTAAATAAGCAAATTCACCATTTGATTATCTATACATGACCAACTCTAATATAATCTTGCATTGATATACTTTAACGTACTTATTTTTTTAAAAAAAAATATTGGCATTATCTCAATCGCGCAATGCGCGTGAAAAATTAGTATATATATATATATATATATATATATATATATATATATATATATATATATATATATATATATATATATATATATATATATATATATATGCGTTCACATGAGGACAGTAATATATAGAGGACTGTGCGGATAGATAATGGCCACACGACAAATTAGTATCATGCACACAATTTAATACACAATGGCACACAAAAATACATATAAACTTCAGGTAAAAAATTGGGTTAGATCTGAGCTATTGATCTAGATTTGATCATAATGGCTCAAATCAATGAATTAAAAAAAAAAATGCGCATGTCCTCCATTAATGCTCTCATTTGAGCACTTGGGATGACAGACAACCTAAAGGAATTCATGAAATTAATAAAAAAATCATTTTATTTTATTTTTTCTTAAGAAGAAAAAACAAAGCACCTTAAGAAAGAAAACAACGCATCCATCTTAAGAAGGAAAACAAAGCACCTTAAAAAGGAAAATAATACACCTTAAGGAGGAAACTCACGCACCTTAAGAAGGAAAACAAAGTACCTTAAGAAGGAAAACAAAGCACCTTAAAAGGAAAACAATGCACCTTAAGAAGGAAACTCATGCACCTTAAGAAGGAAAACAACGTACCTTAAGAAGGAAAACCACGCACCTTAAGAAGGAAAACAAAGCACCTTAAGAAGGAAAACCACGCACCTTAAGAAGGAAAACAAAGCACCTTAAGAAGGAAAACCACGCACCTTAAGAAGGAAAATCACGCACCTTAAGAAGGAAAACCACGCACCTAAAGCTTTAGGCTGACGCACCTTAAGTTTCAATAACTGACGCACCTTAAACACACAAAACACGCACCTTAAGAAGGAAAATCACGCACCTAAAGCTTTAGACTAACACTTAAGTTTCTAACAACTGACGCACCTTAAGCACACAAAACATGCACCTTAAGAAGGAAAACCATGCACCTAAAGCTTTAGACTAACACTTAAGTTTCTAACAACTGACGCACCTTAAGCACACATCACAAAACCACGCACCTTAAGCACAAAAATCACGTACCTAAAGCTTTAGGCCGACGGACCTTAAATTTCAACAACTGACGCTCCTTAAGCACACAAACCACACACCTTTAGAAGAAAAATCACGCACCTTAAGAAAGAAAATCACGCACCTAAAGCTTTAGATTGACGCACTTAAGTTTTCAACAACTGGCGCACCTTAAGCACACAACACAAAAATCACGTACCTTAAGAAGGAAAGCCAAACGCCTTAAATTTTTTTTAATCCTGGACGTTGATATTGACAAGATCAATGACTCTTATCTCACCCCACAACTGCACCTGACACATACAACCGCACGGGAACCCAATTATATATGTGTGTGTGTGTGTGTGTGTGTGTGTGTGTGTGTGTGTGTGTGAGATCCCATGAGAACCCTCATGAGTGCATGAGAACCAATAGATGAGATTAATTGGAGGTTTAAAAACGCATGTGTGCATATTAGACATTATGTATGATGTGTGCATATTAAGTATGTCTCTACGTTGCACACAATACATTCTTAATATGCACACGCACATTTTTAATCCTCCATAGATCTATTTCGTTGATGGATGATGAGATTGACTTTCCCATATGGGAGATCATGGGTTCGATCCCTAATAGGGGCAGTATTGACTTTTTGTGCTTCAGTGAGAAAGTAGTTATATGAACAAATACTATATTGTAATAGAGAGTTAGTAGTACTCAACAAATAATAATAATAATAATTTGATTCATTTAGCGAAATCATGATGAAATAATGATATGATGTAGGAATGGAAAATTAAAGTTGGTAGCTAATTTAATTAACTAGTATAGGTGGGTGTGTAACGTAACTATGGATCAAAGCTGGCGGCGGCGTTGTGTTGGAATGGAAAGCATTGTTGAGTGGAAGTAGAAGTAGAAGAAAGGTGGTGGTGGATGTTGATCATATTGTCAGCCGCCGCCGCTTGGGACAAGAGCAGCTGGTTGCAGTATGTGGTTTGATCCCCAAGGCCAGTGAGCGCAATATCATCATTGCTTCGATGGTTTGATGCAAGAAGCTTGCCCAAGAATGCCCAATCGCCTGCGCCGCTGCCGCTGCCGCTGCCGCCACCGCCACCGGGGGTATTATTATTATTATTCAATTTGTTATGATGATGTTGTGAATATGCTAGTGGCCTGAGGAAGGTTTGAAGAACCCCATGAGGCGCAGTAGTCTCCATATTGGTGAAGGGCGGTGCAGGAGCTAGGAAGGGAGATGTATGATGATGAGACGTCGACTCCGAACTCAACAGTTGAGGGAGATGCATATAATTACAACCTATATTATCCCACACCTGCTGGTACCAAGCAAAACTATTATTATTATTATTATTATTATTATTAGCTGCCTCCTCCTCCTCCCCCGGTAGACGACTATGTTGTTGTTGTTGCTGAGACAGCTCACCAGATGAAGGACAACTGGCCTTCTTCTTCATGTTCATTTGAACAGCTGCTAAACATTCATCATCATCATCCTGCTGCTGCAGACTTGGACTCATAATTATTTCAGGCTGGAGACTACATCTGCTGTGGTTTTTCTTCCTGAATACCCTACACACCACCCACCCATCTTCCTGGATGGATAGTACGTAATAGATGGTTAGTTAATGTAATGAGTTGGTAGCAAGTTGTTAGGATTAAGCATTTACCACTATGCTAAAAATTATAGCTAGTAACAAATGTCTAACTTTATTTCTTTATAGACCATTACACATTTTTTGACAAGTTGGGTGCTGGACTTAGCCTTTACCCTTTAACCTAACAATAATCTCCCAGCCACCGAGTGCACGCTAGACTTAGCTTTTACCCTTTATTGGTCTCTGGGCAAAACAATCCCCCGGCCATAAGTGCTAGACTTGGCCTTTACCGGCCTCTATCCAAGTCAAGTGGATGGGAGTATGTAGCAAGCAAGTTAATTAGGTTTAGGTAAGTAATTAATTTACATACCTCGAGTAGTGAATGTGCATGAAGATTAGTATTATCAATAATAAGGCGATACTCGTGCATGATCCAGTCTGTCTTTTGGCCGTGAGGAGCCCGCCCTGTATAAAATACAAGAGTCTTCCTCATCCCAATCCTCCTACTACTACTCATGGATGATGATGATGATGATGAGGTATGGTGGTGGTATATGGGCTTGTCCCTTCCTGTAGCCTTCCAAAACCCGGCTGCTGTGGCTCTATTTGTTCGGCTTCCAGTTGGATACTTCTTATCCTTGTGGCTGAAAAAGTACCACTCGTTCTGAGGGCCTGTTCCAATTCTACATTTCTCTGCGCGCAATATATATGTAGATCGATTAAAGGGATCGAATTGAAGCTAGGGAATATATATTTAGAGATAGATAGAGATAGTATGTACCTTTGAGGTCCCAAGGCTCAAGTTTGTTGAGATCAACTTCCCTGATAACGTCCAAATCAATGGGTTCATAGCATACTTTCTTCCTCAAATAGTAATAAAGAAGCTCCTCGTCGGTAGGATGGAAGCGGAAACCGGGAGGTACACAAACTTGGCCCCCGCTCTCACTATTTCCTGCACCACCTTGCATCATCATCAGATCAGATCAGATAATACTCTGATCTTCTAGTGTAGTAGTAGTAGTAGTATATATGTTAGTTGATTTTGATTTGTACTACTATACGTCCGGCCTGCAGGCTGCTGCTAGTATAGATAGCTTGAATTCATACTATACTATACTATACGTCGTGATTCCTACGTAATTGCATTGTAGGTACGTAATTCCCACGTAATTCTTTTCCGGTTTCCAATGCTATATATGCAGCCTTAATTAAGGATCTGATCTGATCTGGGATCTAATAACTTGCGGCATCTATCTGAATGCACGGAAAATGTCAAAGTGAATTAAGAATGAATCGAGAGTGGGGCAGGGGGGGATTTTAGGATTCAATGCTGTTGAATGGGAGACCTATTTCGGAATTCGCTCTACTTTTATTTCACCTAATGCGGCCCAATTATTGTCCTATTCTTCTTCTTTTTTCTTTTTCTTTTTTTTTTTTTTAATTCTATTTTTGAATTCTCCCAATAATGAAACTACTAGCTACCACTCTTTTCATCCGCAATGTATACCGTCGCCTATTAATAAATGTATATTTTTTTTGTGTATTGAAGGTTTATTTTTAAAAATAAACATTTAATATATTAAATATGAACATGTATATACGTCAGTTTTTAATTTTCAATATCACATTGTAATATGGACCATATATATATGGTCCACAGTATAAAAACGATTTTTCATCTAATTAGTTTTATTATGAACCAGCATGCATGGTAATTTCTGGGTGATAGATTGTGCACAAGGACACTGGATTAAGTCATGACACACTCAATGTGAAGTTACACTCAATATGGTGTGGGCACCAGGTGCTGGTCATTTCCATCCTATCTAATTTTGACAAAAACTTGTCTGAGATCGTCTCACGAATCCTTATTCGTGAGATGGTTGGGTCAAGATTAAATGTAATACTTATACAGAAAATGTAATACTGATTAGGAACAAAGTGTTCTGATATGATATTTATAATAAAAAATATAATACTTTTGCAAAAAAAAATGTAATATTTTTAAATTTTGATGTAAAAGTATTATATTTTTCTAAGTAATTTGTTATTTATAAAGGTAAATGTAATACTTTTTGATGAAAAATGTAATATATATTTGCTAATTAATGTGAATAAGAAAGCACTTAGCACACTGTCTAAATGATATATCGACTATAGTCAAAAGAAGTCACGAGCGCTTAAGTGCATGAAAAGGGTAGGGAAAGAGAAGAGTAAAATAACTGGCAAATTATATCATGGACCAGAGTTTACTTTTCACGGTAGATCTTAGTCTAACAATAATCTTCTAATTCTGTATTTATGATTTGACACCTTCTGTAGTTTATGTACCTACAGTTGATAATTTATGTACATATAACTATCATATTATGTGTCAATAATTATAAAATTATTTATTTACATATACATAAAATATTAAAGAGGTACAAAATATATTAATTAAAGGTACAAAATTTATATATCAAAAGTAAAAATCACAATGCAATATGAACTCTGATCCATGGTATAACAATTGAAAATAACATATATCAGCCGCATGAAAAAAGAAAACAATATCCTAAAATTCAGTGGAATATACACGTGTTGGTCCAACAAAATACACAATTCAAGGTCTTGATTTCCTAAAACTATTACCGGAGCCATGTCTAAGCTGCGCTTCCATTTCAGCTATACATTACGAGGACCATATATACAACGTATATTTATGAGTTATTGCTATATATTATTCTCTCTAATTCAAATAAGACAACCCAATAGAGACAACAGTAAACAGAATCGTCTGATAGAGACAACGTATATTCATTATATTTCTCCGCCTAATTTTTTCAACTTATAATTTTATTTTTGTAAATTTAAGTAAAAAAATAAAATATATATATATATTAATATATTAATAAAAGGAAAAAAATAAATTTAAGTATAAAATATATTAATAAAAAATTTTAATAATGGACATTTTAAATATATATATATATATATAACAGTCATATTAATATTCTTTCTAATTTTTTAATGAACCTATCACTTATATATGTAGTTTCATAAATTCACCTACACTATATATTGGTTCATAAAGTCATAACTTCATGTTCATAAAATCTCATTAAATTACTATTGTAGATTAATATAAAGTTATTACTATTTGTTTTTTTTTAAAAGGTTATTACTAGTTCATTAAGTAACTATTGTATCTTCATAAAGTCACTATTATAAGGTTATATGTCACTACTACAAGTTTATCACACAATTATTAAAATGATATATTGAATATGTGTGTGTCATTTAAAAAGTCTCAACAACATATATATTTTTAATGAAATATTTTTAAATATTAGTTTTTAATAAAAAATAAATAAATAAATAATATACTTAAATAATACCTGATCAATCAATGCAATTTTTATAAAATTGCAGTATTATTTTTGTTAATCTATTTTTTTTTTTTTTGAATTTATAATATTACTTCTTTTTTGTTTAACAATTTTACTTTTATGAATAGGATTTGGGTTTGATTGCTTTTCTGATCGAACCACATGGTTTGGTTGTCCGACATCGTATTGTAATGTTACTACTCAATTAGTACCCAAAAAATTTTTACTACTCTAATAATAATACCACCACCACCGCAACATCTTGGGGAAAAAGGAAAGCTCTACTGTGTATAAATAATATCTAACATTGTACCCAGATACTGTTCCGGGTATGTTGATGAGGCTACGTCTTGCTATGTTATGTAGTAAATGAATTACACTATTTTTATATCTTTGTTTTTTTGGGGATTAGATATCAAATATTTATATGCAATTTTCATTAATGTTAAATGAAACTATGTAGACTAGTTAGAGCGCCACTTGATCTCCACCTGAAATAAGGTTGACTTTCATATGTTGTAAACAATTAAAGCCTTGCAACAGAAATTGTTGAAGTACTGCAATAGTAATATTGATCTGCATCATATGAATGATTTATATGAGTTTTAGTCTCCTCAAGTGAATGAAAAGTTGTGCAGGTGGCAACTTTGAATTCACCTTGTTGAGATATATTTCCTAATAAATGTTAGTTTGAACATATTCTTTGTGTATGAGATTGATTTCTTGTAAGAATATGAGGTGAAACTTGTGATTATGTTGATTAACTTGATGTAGCATGTGGACAAAATTATTTCTATGGCTTACTAACAATGAGCATTTATATATAATATATGTACATTATTTAAATTCTTAGTTGAGTCATCTTGAAAGACCTATAATTCCGGTTTAAAGGGTAATTAAGATGGGTTGAGATAACCAAGTTTGTTGAAATATATTCAACTATTGAGTATGTATCAGGCAAAGCGCGAAGCTACTATAATGCTCCACAAAGTAAATCGACAAAACTCAGTCTACAAAGGAGCCAAGTTGGGCACCAAAGATCAATCTGGGTAAAAGATCAAATACTTTTGAGAAAAATATTTGTAAGTGTTGCATTGTGAGGGCAATTAACTCTTTATATATATTTCGTTCCTAAAAGTCTCTCTGTGGTACCAACAATAATGGTAGAAGAGAATGTTTCATGTTAAGCATGAAAATCTCAAGGGATTATTTACGAGTAAACAAAGTACTCGTCAAAGTGTATGTAAGTTTGATCAAGAGAATCAACTTACTTGAGGGCTAATCATGAGGATTAGTCGCTAAATCATTGGAAGGACTTAAAGTTCAAGTGGTAATGAATTCGTGGTGGGTCCCACTTTTGTGGTCAAACGAAGCCATGAAAAGAGTTATAAAACAGTACACTAGGTGGTCATTCCTACAATGTGTGTACTTGTGAGGTTGAGCTACAGCTCTTAATGAATTCATAACTCTTTGAGAAGGGTGGTTTTTTTGAGACAAACCTAATGAATTCACCGCATAATGACATGAGTACAAAAGTGCTCTTGGGGACTTATACTCAATTGGGGTGGTCTATTTTGAGGTAGACCTAAAGAGATCCCTGACTTGAGTGGAAAGGGGCTAACCGCCTCTTATGAAAAATAATGGGGTTATCCCAAGAAGCTGAGTGGCTAAGAAACATGTTGGTAACCGTGCAGTTGTGGGGGTGTCCAGCACCTTCACTACATTGTGATACACAAACTGTCGTTTGCATTGCAAATAACAGTGCCTACGATAGAAAGAAAAGACTAACAACTGATTTATGTCTTTAACTACTCTATAAGCCTTTAATGGTGGTCTATACTAAGATATACTTGATAGAATTAAAAGTCTATATTGAGATGGACTTGACAAGACATAAAAATCTGTAATGTGGTAAGACTTGTCAGAGTTAAAAGTCTATGTTGAGATAGACTTTGACAGGGTAGAAGTCTATATTGAGACAGACATAACATTCTTTAATACTAAGGGTGTTCATAAGAAGTCAAAGAGTTTGACTTTCATAGAACCTGCTTTTTGAGTTGGTGTGTGCATTAGAGTTCAAAATTTATCTAACAGGTGAGTTCAAGATTCATATCACTCTCAGAAAGAAAATTACTCAGTGTCACTACGTGTCAGTCCAAGTTCTCAAACACTGACATTAAGATCAACTCATCTGTATTGCTCAGACATTATTTCATTCTAGCCTTCTACTTTGAATGTGTGGGGGATTGTTGGAAATTCAAAGCAGCAACACCCTTTTGGATGGTCAACAATGATCCATCCATAATTAGTGGTGTAAGATGTGGCTGCATAGATCTCTTTATTTTCCACTTCCCCTTTCTTTTCGTTAGTCTGTGGATGAAATGAGAAATGACCTCACTCTCCTACACTATATATAGAAGCAAGACATTTTGTCTAAAAGCACAAAAAATAAAAGCCTTCTTCCTTCCTTCTGTGCGAGAATTAATATATATTATAATATATATATATATATATATATATATATATATATATATATATATATATATATATATATATATATATATATATATATATATAATATAGTTTCGTGTCTGCCTGTTAGTCTGAGAAAT